TATACATGCTTTCTCATTCTGGTTCACAAATGTTATCATTGTTGTTGTTACAAAGCATCAAAATTCCTAGTTGTGACAGAGCTGGAGAGCCGGATTCCACGGATCAAATAAAATGCCTCCAATATCAAACATCAAGAGGAAAGGTATACAAAGTATCGAGATACACATAGAAGTATTCATAATAAAGTGTGTCCAATATGAAACATTAAATGAACAGAATAAATACAACTGAGATATGTGTTATTAAAATAGGTGGGAAACCCCGCTCCGCGGCGTTCGGTTTTCACCATAGTTAGTCAAGCCATCTTCAAAATCACATACAGACTAAAGTTAAAAAGGGTCCAACTTAAAATTCTAAATTTTATTTAATTCATAATAACCTCGTCATCCCATAATCTTGCTTTCGAATAATACGCACTGCTTTCCTTATCATACGTCTCTACAAATTTCACCTATAGCAAATTAAAGGTAAACGATACGCTTAGTAAAGTAACAAATATTTAAGACAAAAATTCACAAAATTATGCTTATGGTGTTCATTATGTCCCCAAAACAGTCATTAACATTACCCATGTGCATTTAGATGATTTTGTGGTTATGGTGTTCATTATGTCCCCAAAACAGTCATTAACATTACCCATGTGCATTTAGATGAGGGAATTTTCACTATTATGAGTAAAAAACAAAATACATACTCCATATTTGGATAACACAATGCCTATGTTGCATGACCTGAAAACCATGTAAGCAAACAATCAATATATGTGAAAGCAGGAATGAAAAGGAAAAAAAAATAATATTATAGTATATTTACAAATACCCAGATCTAAGTATTAACTGTTCAAAAGAAACATCCAAAGAATAGGTAATACATTCTTCTTTTGCAGTGGGAAATCGACATCCAAATTTGAGATGTTTCAGCTTCAAAAACACTAAAATCTTGAGTATAAATTGGCACTTAACAACATGTACCTATTTATACACATGTATACAAGGCTGGAAACTTACCCAAAGACCTTCTCTGACACCTTCTCTGAACTGGCTATATAAATAAGTGAGAAACCTGCATCCAAAATTTCAACAAAAGTACATCTCTACAACAAAAAGTAAATATTAACCTTACTAAAGCCATAAAGAAAATGCTCGCCGTGGTAGATATGATGAAATCTCCATGTAACTTTTCAGTTGAGACATAAAAGTATAGTTCACATACGAATGATCTGAAAATATATCTTGAAACACGTCAAATAAAATCTAGAATTTCCAATCCAAAACTTACCTATATATAAATACCAATATTTGAAGCCAAACTATAAATTGAGAAATTATCTCTTTATGTTTTTGAAAATATACGTTTCAGTCTTAGGATTCAACAAAAATTCATCTATCATATTCTCAATTCAGATCTTCGAGTACTTCCAAATGAAGCAAGACTGGAACAGAAAAAACGATTATAAAATTTACCAAAAAAGTCAATTTTAATAGTAAAATCCCAAAACTTACCGAAATGTCCCTGGTCTCTTTGATAACGATTTTGGTTGACTGAGATCGCAAGCCTGAACTGAATCCAACATTCAGCGCATATGCAACATCAAATTAAATCCCAACAGCACCAAGTAAAACCAATAGAAAAGATAAACACAGAATTCCCAAATACCCTGTAATCAAGAACACATAAATCAATTTTTCTGACCAAAATACTAAAAAAAACAGATTTCAAAATAATCACAATTTAAGCAGCAACTTTCCATCAGAAGAAAGGAAAAAAAGATAGTGTCACCTACGTACTTTATTCAATTCTCTTTCATGACACCAACAGTGGGACCTTTTTTCCCAATGTAATCTAGTGCCACCTGCAATAGAAGAAAGGGAAAAAAGATAAAAGATTAACCATTTAATTTAGAAATCATAAGGCTAGAATTTGCTTCCAAGTGATCTTACTTGTTGGTTTTGTATCACAAATGTTTCTTCTACTGATGGTGTCAACAACTCCATCATTTGAGTACCAGCAAAATGATAACAAATGTGTTCTAATATATCTTTATCAGCAACAAATCGCACCGGTAATAAAAAAAGCATGTACGATTCAACACAAACAAATGTAAATTTTTCCCTTCATTAGCTCATTTAAGAAAAGACGCTAACCTGGTAAGATATAATCATAGAACTGTATGTAGGGGCAGTTTACAGAACTGTTTACCAAAAAAACTTTGAAAAATGAAAAGGACACAGGTATACAGATCATTGCAAAAAAAAAATTGACTCGCAATGTTTGAAGCACTAAAATCATTCAAAGTCACAGGAACTATTTGAAAGTAAATCTTAAAAAAAGAGAGACAACCAAAACCCGAGCATACATGTTTGCACCTCTAATCTTTGGGATCCGTATGTCCGAGTGAAATTTGGTTTCCTTCTTGAAATTGAAAACTACAATTCACATTAGAAAAATTTATAAATAAAGATTCATATAAAATTTTTATGTATTTATTAACATTAAGGTTGCACAACAATTCATCAAATATAAAGGTTTTTCTTCGAGTGTTTCTTCAAAGTCATTAATTTTGCAAATTACCATGCCAACATATTGATTAGTAATAAAATAAAAAACTTGCACTTTTGAGAGAAAATTTCAACCGAAAACCACATTTGTTATTGTTTCTATTACAAAAAAATGTCCCCTTTTTTATCTACCAGACAAGGGTATTTCTGGAAATTTACTCTTTT